CACATACACATACACAAACACACACCACTTGGACAGTATTTCAACTTGTTGGCTTACTCATAATCACTACCCCTTCTTCTCACTCACACCCTGAACTTTATCAAAAGACCCTGGGGCTTTTCCTTCACCAAACCAGGTGGCTGTAAGGAAGGAAAAAAAACTTTGTGTCACATAAGAGCCCCCACAACTCATCACTTTTGCCAAAAAGGAGGCCTGCCCAGCCCAGCTGTGGCTCTCGCCTTTGCCATCTAATAACTATGACCTTCACGCTCTGCCTGTCAGACCTTTATTACTGCCGGCTACAGGGATAGAGAGACAGACTCAGAGAAAGACAGAGGGAAAAGCAATAAAAGGCCACAGATGGGTATGGGACAACACAGCTGACGAACAGAGAAACAGAGAGCTTTTCTCATACCATCACTGATGATGATGACTTCAATGACCTGAGATTGGCTGACAGATGCCTGCGCCCTCAGAGATTCAAAATGTCAATACATGATTTTGCAGTAGTATATTGCAAAGTTAAAAATGTCTGAGAATGACAGGCTCTGTAGGTCTGTGAATTTGTGTACTCAAGGGGTTGTCAGCTCACATCCTAAATCAACACACACTGGGCCTTCGCTGACGGACTAAAAATAATATCTAGGTTACAATGCCCTGCCAAGCCCCAAACACAACAAAGTCTCAGGAAGCAGTCTTTTCAGCATGTTGCCATAGAGACTGACCACATGTGCAAGTCAGATAGGGGTGAGTGGTCAAACTCGCAGTCAGGCCGCGTTGTCTCCTTGACTATAATAGGCCTAAAATACAACCTTCATTTAACTAGGCACAGATGTGTTGGAGATAGCGGGTTTGCACTCATAGGTCATGCTGAGGGCATCTGATGAGCCCGGCACTAAAATAATTGAGTTTTCACCAACAATTGTGAAGAGCTGTTTCCATATTTCATATTTTGCCTTTAACCTCAAATGAGTCGGAGCAGAACAAAAACCATTGTAAAGATCTGAAGCAATCTTAGACCAAAGTTGGTTGCCTCTTGTAAGAGTATATCAAATTACAGTTACGATGAGTAGGAAGAACCTCATTATGAATTCTGTTGTGGATTGTTCAAAACCTTTTTTTTTTAATAATAGAGATCACAAAGTTTTCAAACATACCAAATTGGGGTTGAATCTTGGGAAAATGTGTATAAAATGATGCACAAGATTTAATGGAATGGTGCAACCCAAAAATGAGGTCTTGTGCAAACATCATACAGCTTCAATAAAGAGCTGGCACAAGCTGATGCAGAATATAATGGATGGCAGAATGGAAAAAACCAAACACTGGCTCTAGATGGTGTTTCTTCTGCATGTTTCACAGTCACCATAGTTTCTCCTACATGATTGGAAGGGGAGTGGTATTCAGTTGGTTGCAACCTGCAAATTCACCACTAGATTCCACTGAATCCTACACACAGGTCCTTTAAAGCCATTTTACTGGAAATAAAATAGCAACAAGTAGACAAGTAGATTCCAGCAAGACAATGCATTTCAAAATGATCAGCACATAACATTTCCAATTAATCCCACAAACTGACACACTGGGACTAAAATTGGTGATTCGTCAGTTATACCTGCTTAGCGTCCGTCTGTTGTCCTGTTGTAGAGGATTGCTACAACAGGTGAAAGCAGGAGAGTCTTAAAACTGATGTTCACTGAAGCTGAGGATGGTCCTTCCTTCACAGGGGGGAAAGGATCCAGAAGCAATGTTAACAAACAAACTGCCACTGGAGAGCCATTCACCATCGTAATTTTTCATTACAGTCAAGCTGATCTTCAGGAATAGATAACTCTCTCTCTTATCATTTATCTACCTGTCTGTCCATATTCCATTACTATAACAGTAGTTGCTAAAGCATTTTTTAAACAAATGTAGATAACTCAGAGGTTTTCTTAGGGCTACTAGTCTGCAGGTGTGAATTCTAGACTTGCTGGGAAAACCTGAAAGCAAAATGTAAATGTAAAAGATGCTCTCACCTACCACAGCAACTTCTGTGACGTTACAGTAAGCAGCCCCCAAATAATCCAAAGGAAATGCTCGGTGGCTAACAGTACAACTCCAGCATGTGTGAGACTGTTTAAGTGTTAAAATATTGACCATGCATCTTATGAATTTGCTCTGGCTGTATTTTTGACTTCTGAAAAATGGGAAAGAAATGAGAGTTTCCCTAACAGTTCCTCTAAAGGCTAGAGCAGGAGTTACTACTACATGACGTAAACACATCTGAAAGCTAAGCCTCTGTGATGGCTACATCTGTGCACCACACCAATATTGTGGAGAGTACTGCTCCCAGACACTAATGAAATTTCAGTATTCAGTCTTTATTTAATGTATTTAATTTAATTTATTTAACTATAGGCTTAAGTAACTGGCTGTTATAGTAATAGTGCTATACCCTTTGTACCATTCATCATAATGTGACACTGTTTATTATATGCAATAATATGGAAGATTGAAACAAATCATATTAAAAACAAATGTGGGATAGTAATGCATATAAAAGAAATATCTGCGCCGTTAAATAATGTTCTCAGTTGCAGTCAGGCAATTAATGCATCCTCCCACCAAAAGAGAGAAAAGCTGTGCAGTGAGCTAAGTGTCAATAGCTTCGGCCTTGGAAACTGTTCTCCTCTCCAGGTGGTGAGTTGAGCCAAGGTTGAGCTCGACTGAAACCTAACAGGTTAGAACACATGGTCTCCTTTTAATGGTTTCGTGCAGCTGTAGAGAAAACAGATTCCATTTGGCAATAGTCAAACTGAAAAATTCCCAATGGCACATTTACATAGACTTTGAGCAGAAAACAGCCGTCCACTACGTATTTTTTCTCTGCAAGCTGCTTGACAGGAAATAAAGGAAATAGCAGCAGAAGCAAAGAAAAAATGAAACTCTACGCTCTGCAGCAGGACTTGGATTCATATGAACTCTGGGGATATATTCACTCAAATCTACGTATTAATAAATGCATGTACAGTGCATTTATACTGTATGTAAGAAGTGGATCCACAGTGTCATCAGACAAAGACTAATTCACCTTCTGCAAGAATTTCTACTAAAGTCA